AGGTGACATACCAAACCAATGCGGCAGGGTTTGAATGTCCCGGCCATTCCCTGGCAGAGATCATTGAGCGGAACCAGATTCATGATAAGGCGGTAGATGGGTACCCCTTGCGCCTCTCCACGCTTCTCGACCCCTCTGACTCCGGAACCACCCCAAAGATCCCTGCCATCCATCAACTAAACCAGTCCTCATCCTTGACCATAACACGCGACTTCCGCAGAGGACCCCATTCGCTGGGGGGCTTCAAGAAAGATGGGAAGTTCTCCACGTAGTGTTTGCAACCCTGTTCACAAATATCCACCAACCGCGCAACCCCAATTTCTTTGGGCAGGGCAGGCCTACTGTTCTGCCGCTTGAACTGCTCTTGCTGTCCCCCTTCTTCGACCGACTCCTCTGAGCGTACCGCTGTGCCTTCCGGCGCTGATGGTTGCGGGCCTTCTTCATGGGTCCAATCCACTGTGGGCGAACATCCTCTTCTGGTCGACCGGAGTGTACGCGGTGGATGAGCTCGTGCGTGCTGGATGAAGAACTGCTCCTGGCAGGGCTTCTCACCCCGATGTCTCCGGCCGACTTCTTCTCCTTTCCTCCTCCACTTCGCCTGGACCTGCTCGAGCGGCTCCGCTTCCTCTTTTTGCTGTCTCGCGAGCCTGATCTCTTGCGACTCCTCTGATGCTTCTTCTTCTTTTTCTTCGTTTTGTCCTTCTTCTTGGCATCCTCCTTCTCGCCTTTGGAGCCTGTCGCTCCTCCGTCTCCGCCTGCCACACCGGGGAGTGCTTCCATCCGACTCCTCAAACCTGCTAACTCGTCCCCGTCTCGAGGACTTGCGCCGACCAGGACATCTCGCCAAGGCACCCCATCCAGGTCTTCCAACGACCCGATTACCCGATACTTCTTGCAGTGTATGAGGCCTGGCCCCACAGCTTCTTGACTCTGCGGGACACACATGTACTTGGGCGAAATGAGTGGAGCCAGTCGACCATGTCAGCAGCGACTCTAGATTCGCGCCGAGGAGCTTGAGGACGATGTACCTTCCCGATGCGTCCCTGTGGACTTCGATGACTTTGCCGCTGAACTGACATGGATTGCTGTAATACGTTGCTTCTTCCCCGTGCGCCAGGGATCCGATTGCCAGCTCCCCGCCATCCAGGGCTTCCCCGCCCCGATCTGCCTCGTTGCGCATGTGTGCTGCTGGTCGGCGTAGTACTGCTCGTAGCGCCGGCGGCCTTGCTGGCCGTCTCCTTCGGCGCCATGACTGCCCTTTAGAGGGGCGGCCCTTCCGCCTTTCCCTTTCCCCTTTGCTTGTCTCTGTTGGCCCCGATATACGTGTTGCCAGCCTTTCCACCTCTTGAGCGGTGCTGGATCTCTCGAGTGGTACCCCGGCGGGGAGACTGACGGTGCCCGCGGCCTCCTTGGCAAGGGTTTGCGACTGGAGGGTTTTGCGGTCTGCCGCAACTCGAACTTCTTGGGGTTCTGCTCGACTTCGTCGTCGATTCTCGATCTTGGGGGCTCTTCCTCTTCTCCCTCCAGCTCTTCGAAATCTTCGTTGTCCTCCGGCTCCGTGCCAACGACTTCCGCCTGCTCTTCAACCACCACAGGGCTTGGGCTGCCCCGAGTCTTCTTGCTTTCGCGTCTCCTGCTCCGACTGCGACGCCTTCTCCTGTGTCTTGATGTTGAACGAGCTCTTGATGACTTGGACTTTCTTGTACCTTCATTACCTTCACTCTCTTCCTTGACTGCCATTGAAGGGCCTGCCGACGGATGCTCCTTCCCAGGGTGTTCCCCCGCCACGGACTCGGCTTTCGCCGGGCTCTTGGTGTCCTTCTTGTTCTCCTCCTCCTTGACGGGCTTCTTCTGCTCGATCAAGTAGCCTTGGGCGTCAACCACGCCGGATGCACGATCGGCCTCAAAGAGCTCGCAATCCGACTCCAAAGTAGTCAGAACCTTTGCCAGCAGATGGGTGAGCTCCTTGGCCTTTGAGGTGGGATACCGGTGGTTGACAACTTTGGTGACCTTTCCTGCCAAATAACAGGGATCACAGTACCCCGAGGTTCCGACGGGAAGTTCCAACCTACTATGGCACCCGCGGCAGGCCACCATAAGCTGAAGCCGAAACGCTAAGGAATAAGCATGACCAGGTGTGTTACTCTTTAATCCCGGGGGCGGGAGACCATGTATGTATGGGTCTCTATGTACATTACATATATATATATATATATTATTGGTTTATATCTCCCTCTCTCTCTCTCTCTCTCGCTCTTATATCTCTAACTCTGAACTTCCACCACGCCTGTCTCACCCTGACGTCTGTCATGGAGACGACCGCGCAGCCCATTGAGCTGTGCTTTCGCACAGTGACAACCTCTCCCACCTTGCGACCGCAAACAAACCGCGGCAGGTACTCCAATCTTAATGACTACTATGTTCTATCTGATCATCTGATGTCAGCTGGAATAGTATTGATTGTATAATCATCACTTTGTCAGCATATTATACATAACATTGTATTATCTGGAGTCCAGAATTCTAGGAGTTTTCATTTAGCAGTCATCATTACCATAATCATCAGACTGGCAGTCAAGGATAAAGGAGTATAAATACTTCTGCTTGTTTGTCTGTGCGGCCCTACCGCACCCGGGGCTAGTTGGCAACTTGTTTTGTGAAAGAGTCATGACTCGTAGAGCATGTTTGATCATTTCTCAGTCTTTTGAAAAGTGGGAGGATATCAATGAAGTGACAAGGTTCCCCTTGTGGTGAGAAAAGATTGGGTAGTTGCCAAAGCGTATCCCCCAAAACATAATAGCTTCCTGGTTGGCGACTTTAGATGACTTTAGTGCCCCTCGGTCATCCTCCAACGAAAACTAGAAACCAAATCATTGGTGCGAGCGCTATCCTGCATCCTAGTTAGGAGCGAACTAGTCGCGCATAATTAAGGAGCCGCCTACTGAATTGAGTATCAGGACCGCAAAGGGCCGAGCGGGCTTTAAACAGAATAGGTTGGCCATCGCTAGGTTGGAGGCCATCGCTTCTAGGTTTTCACCAATATCTCAGCGGAGTCGACCCACGAGACCGATCTGCGAGATGCGCCTGTTCGACCGCTTGTCGACGGGGGTCATCAGATCTATCTATGCGCTCTAAACGCTCCTGTCAAACATGATAGAAAATGGACGTTCTGATGCAAACAAAATGGTCCAAAAGCACCATAAGCAGAGTGGAACAAACCACTCTTCACTGCTTGGTGATAAGCTTTCTCTGCTTGGTGGAATAGATTGTGTAGTCAGTCGGAACAGGGTGGGGAAAAAAACAGGTGACTGCAACATGCCTGGACATTGGTATATACATCCCTGTAGTGTAGTGTCGTGCAATTGTTTGGCCGCCCTAAAGTACAAAGGTAAGCGGAAACCATTTTGCAGCTTGCATGTACACCCATCAAGTGTGCAGTCCTTCTCACCATCGCCTTTCTCTCGGTCTTTGCCTTTCTTCCCTTTTCCACGGCCTCCAAGCTTACTGAAAGCAATCAGAAAAAGGCTAGGAAAGCATTCTGACATGTTCATCGACTCGAACCGAGCGAGCATCGACTCAAACTGAAAAGGAAACTGCGACCCTTTGGCGCCTTTCTCGCCGCGATCGGGCCTTTCCGATCTTTCCTCTGCTGGGGCAGAGCTGGAGGATGCCTCAGCCTGATGCCGGGAAGACTGAATAGGCTGCATTACGAGATCTTTAGTACGTGAATTAGCTCCCTGTATATATATATATATCATATATATATATCACAGTGTGTTTCTTCATATTCCTTCTGCAGGTCTTGACCAAGCTCCAAACATCACCTGAGTTTCACACTGTGACTGGCGCACCCAAGGCTGCCAAAAGGTCCTGGCACCCACACTTAGAACGACACCGGGCCCCGCTCCGGGCCCCACTCTTTCTTTCCCCAAAAGAGTTTCATTAGAACGACACCCATGACTCTTAAGCCACATCCACTTTCATCCTGCTGTGGAGGTGGTAGACCATCCACCAGCGGCTTGCTGGTCGGTGCATTCATTGGTATTGGAGCGGCCACTTGAGGAGCCATTGTAGGTGCCTCAAGTGGTCATGGTCACGCACGAGCATGACTGATATCTAAGAGGTCACCAGGCGTTAATAGTCCGTAGGTTCATAGGCCCCAGATCCAAGAAGGGGCCCAGAAAGGTCTCTTCCCTGTGGCAAATAGAAAGGTGCAATTTGAGAGCCTTCAAAGGCACAGAGATGTCATTCCCTGAGGGCCATGCTACTGCTAAGTGGTCTCGCCTCAGGCATCGTCTACGGAACCAGAGGTCCGAGTGGTTGCGCCGGTTGGGCACAAGGGGTTGGTTGTTTCATAACTTTTGGCCGTTCATATCCCTTCCGAGGTCTCTACCAAAAGACCCTTCAAGTACGGGAATTGCTCGTTTTTGGAGCAAAGGGAATATGAGAATATGGTACAACGACTACGGCAAAAGTTTATTGAGGCTGACGGCTCCTTCTAGTCCAAATTTATCTTCTTGAGTTTCCAAAATATATTAGCAAAATGTTGAACCCATCATTTTGACACAAATGACACCATGGTTGAGTGGCAAGAACCAGTTCTGAGCAGTTCAAGCACCCGTGGATTCATCTGGGGAATCTCACCCATGATTCCTGGCAAGTCAGAAAGGCATGTAACCCCAAACGCAGTCTTCAACCAATGGTGCTTGGGTTCATGTTGGACGTTGCAACGCTTCAAAAAGTTTGCCCAATCACTTCTAGCATCCTTGAAAACCAGCAAACTGGTTGGTGGTTTCATCCCCTATAAAAAATATGTGTCATCCAACCAATCATTTGTAAATAGCAGGGAAAAAATGCTTGAAACCACCAACCAGCAAACGTCTGCAAATGGCGGAGTCATACCGGATTTCCGGTCGGTTCCGCTACTGATGAGCCGAGCTTGTATCGGTTTCATCAGCTCCCAGGTCCATTAGATCACCGGGATCTGCTGGGCAAGGTCCCTAGGCGATAATGCAGCCACCTCCCGCAACACTGGGCTGGTTTGTCTCCAGGGCTGTGGGAGGGGGCGCGGCCACTTGGGTTCGAAGGTTTTGTAGGATGTCATGCCATGATGCAGGGGCGAAACCAATGAAATCAGCCGGAGCCACATTGCAGTGGCAGTCGTCGTACATCTCTGCAGCTGACAGCAACCAACTCTCTGGGCCGCTCTCCGCGTGCAACAAAGGGGTGCCATGGGCACAGGGGCCGCGATGCCCCAAAATGGCTTGGAACTCCGCCTTTGGCGGGAAAAAAACGATCATCCACACGAACAAAGGTAGCCCGCTGGTAGCTGCCATTGGAGAGAACAGCGAGTACATCTCCTGGATAATAGGTGTGCCACTTTGACTGGCCGGGGCCAGCACATGGGACCTGGAGGTGAGGCTTCACACAGCACATGGGAATTTCAGGGACCACCCGATACATGTGATGGGAGTCCCCACTGTAAGCTCGCAGCACCGCTTCCTTTGCGCAAATAAAAATGAACATGATTGGAATGCCAATCCCAAGTACCAGTGGAAGATATGAGTCTGAATCGTCATCACGGTGATAATGGTGGCCGTATGAAGCAGCTGTAGCCCAGCAGTTGGCAACCAACACCGCTCGGAGCAACATGGCACTGATGACCAGGCAGGAGGCCTGAATGGTTGGGCTAGCACTGGAACAAACTGAGCCTGGAAAGCCCAACGTTGGACCTGTCACTGCGGATGTCAAATAAAATGAAGTCGAATCTGATGGGTCTCTGGTATTCATTTGGCTTGGGCAGGTGTGGCAGCTGGGTCCCGTCCTGTCCAAAACTGGCGAGTGCCTTATTACTTTTGTTGTTGGATGGTTCGTAACGATCATCACCACCATTTATCAGCTGAACCAAGCACTCGATTTCTACCAGGCCCAGGCTCGACCGCAAAAAAAAATAAACACGGAAGTCATATTGCCAGTTCGATTTTTGAGCAGCCAAAATGTAGGATCTAACCTGATCTCACCATTTAACTTAAAATAATGCATTTGAATTGTCTATAATCATTGATTTCAAGGTGAGGCGTGCCCTGGCGAAAGCGAACATCACCAGGGTACCAGGTGAATGGTAGATATAGCGCGACAATTTTAGGTGGGTCCGATGAACTCAGGGATCTGACTGGGAGGTGGCTCCACAGTTTAGAATCTCAGAAAAAAATACTTTCAAGGTTGTGGATATATAACTGGGCACTAGTAGTTGACAACAAATCGATCCAGAAATTCAACTGAATTCCAATTTGTTCGTTATAGCTTAACCCGGTATATGTTTAAATTCTATCCCAAAATCCCATGTATATTAATCCCGATCCCAATTATAGGGTAACTTGACCCATGGGCGAACACTGGTCTGACGAGCACTTCCGCTGGATCAGCTGAGACCCAAGCTCCAAAGCTTCGACGGTCAAGGCATTGTTTGGCATTGCCTGAAGAGACGTCTGATCTGCTCTTGCTGATTCCGTCAAATATCACTCTATGTCATATATTCTATAATCTGTTCCTGTTGCTTTACCCTCATGCTCCTGCCAAAATCGATTGCAGGCACAGGCATCACGGTACAATTTCCTTCCTCACTTGTACCTCACTCTTCACTCCTTGCTGTCCTACCACTCATCTCCGGCCTTGGGTATAGCCACACCTTGCTCACTCTCCCCCAATCGCTCATGCCCAGGGAGGCGACCAAGTGTCCACTGGTCCAGACCACCCTGCCAGACCGACCCGGAGTCTCGACCAGTGCGTCGCGAGGACCGCGGCACGAAAGCGCTTTGGCCTCTGCATCTGGCGCTGCAGAGGTGTCTGGCCTTGAAGGGAAGACTTGTTCAACCAAGTTCAGGCATCCAAGACAAGGGAGAGTACAACAACCAAGCTTGGCATGCTGCATATCCCAGAAGTCACCTTCTGCTTCCTCTTCCTGCAAGAAAGAAAATTGCATGTCAGCAGTATCCTGAGACTGTAAAGATGGCGCTTGCAGCACTTGTGTCCCGAATGAGGAGAGGTCCTCCTGCAAGGGAGGGCCATCCTTCTTTTCCTGCTGTGCTAGATTCATGCAAATTGGGGAGGGGAATGGGAGATAGGTTCTTCACTCACTCTTTAGATGCGACTTAATGGCCCTAGACCAGCAAACAATTGGCCGCCTTGTAGCCTTTCTTGCGGCTGCCGGCCTCCAATTCCACTATGGTCCATGAATCAAACGTTTACTTCCGGGTCAAGACATTTCGGCACCTTCTCCCACTGGCCACCCCACCAATCATCATTCTCTGCCTGCTAGGGATGCTGCATTACTATGTAAAAGAATGTGTGCACTAGGACTAACTATCATGAATGCAGACTTTGATCATGTAGCAACTCAGCGGCTCATGAAAAGTGCTTGCTAGCTGTAAACCGCCTTGCTTCCGCCCCAGTCTTCTCCATGCCAGGACTCTTGCCACTCCCAGCTCTTGTCGTTCTGCGCGTGCAGGTGCGACCAAGAGTTGTTTTAAGATGGTTTAAGAACAAGCTCTGATTCAGAACAATACTGAACAGCACATGCAAGCAACCGTTCACATGTTGAATGCTTTCACGACTTTGAACATCAAGATTCTCAGGCGCACCCATTTGTCACCAGAATTTTCCCACCTCATTTGGGCTGCAAAAAACGAATCGTTTTGTCCGATCTGGTCATCTCATCGAGTCTTGTCTATCTTTCAAGCTTCGGACCACTGTCCCTGCCAGTTCTCTTGCGAGGCACCGTGGTTCTCCCTGAGAGAAGTTCGGCATCTCTACCGCATGTTAAAGAGGATTTCATAGGTTCATGTGCGTCATGAGTCATGTTAGTCCTGCGAACCCTTTCCTCTCGGGACTGGGCTCACTCTGTGGCTTTGTGCCGGCAAAGAGGATGGCAGGGTCAGGCGGTAGGGCAGAAGCTGTGGCGACAGCGAAGGGTCACGGTCAGAGTCACATGGGGTGTCCCCCCCGACTGAACGTGCGTGTCATACCGTCACTAGGGAAGTGGAGGTGTCCAGGTCACTAGCGTGATGCATCTCAAAAGCTTCTATGCCTCTCTCAACAAGCTGGTACCTAACAACACAAAGAACGAAGAAAGTTACAGCTTTGTAGGAGCCCCTGAATCAGAATCTGCCTCCACCCTCTGCGTGTGACCCATTCTTGCCACCCCCTTTGCCTCGGCTGAGCCACCGATTTGCAAGAAAAAGCAATCAAGGCATTAGAGGTCAGGTAGTGAGCGTTGTCCCTTCTGAGTGGTGGGCCTCGCTTGGCGGCACCTCGACTTTGCAAAGTAGTACAGTAACTCCATTCACAAGATTTCAGTGACTACTTTCGTCTATATTTCGGTTTCTGCCAGCCTGGCTAAGCTTGCTCTCCCCAGTTTTGCCATTGTTTGTTCAAGTACATTGTGGGAGCAAAGAAAGCGCATCTGAGCCCAATGCGTTCTGCTTCCCGTGCCTCCTTTGCAGCTTTCCTGATGCGAATCCAGTGGCACCATTTACCCCCCCTACAGCCAACACCACCCAAGCCTCTCAGCTTCTCTGCGCTGCTTTTCTTCTTCCTTCTGCAACCTCTCCTGAAGAGTACCCCAGCACTGTCAGGTCATTCCAACTGGTCAACGGCAATTGCACAAATCAGTCTAGCTCAGTCCTGCTCCTTTTTCTCTTCCTCCTCCTTTATCTTGCGTTCTTCCTGAGAAAATGCGCAGGATTGAAGCCTTGCTTTGGGTGAAATGAAATCGGACAGCCCACTAATGCAGCGCCTTAGCTTGCTTCTTGTTTTTGACCGTGCCCCACTCTTCTTTTTCGTGGTTTGCACGATCCTGGGATCGTGTAAAAGCTTGCGAGTTGCGGAATGATTCCAACGATGCTCGCTGCGAATGCATCGGCCTCAATGATGTTCGCCACAGCTACTTGAATTTGATTCCTCAGCAACTCACGAGGCAAGGAAAACCCCTCACAAAATTCATGAGTCTAGGTTCAACTCCCAGGAACAATAATCTTTTTTACAGCTCCTGCGAACTATATAGTTACTAATGGTTTTTTGTTTTGTGCCATAGAGACCACTGAAGTAAACATCTCATCAACATTTAACAAGAAATAACATTAAATATCATTAAATAACTTGCTTTGGGGGGAATACACACACGGGCAACATCGGCATTAGACTCACTTGGGATCTCACTCATCATAGTGGCATCTGCGCACCAAACCGGCGATGTCACTCCGGGAGTACTCGTAGAAGTCGAGAACCCCGGTCCTTGGGATGCTTCTTATACCAGTTGCGGCAAGGCAGGATCTAGCGTTTTCCCCAAAATGCTAGTGAAAGAAAGTATGCTGTTGTTCGCACCAACCTTGGAGGCTGACAATTGCTGGATGTGGTTTTCAGTTCGTGGGGAGTACCTGAAAAGGAATCAGCCACTGGATACTATGTGTTCGTTGCTTCAAGACTGGAAAAGCAACGCACATCCTTTCTCACAAATCAAATGGGTACTTCTTCTCGTCCTCCTCACCTTTCCCTGCAACCTGCAAGATTGAGTCGTTGCCAAAAGCACCAGGAACCACTTCCAACAGCACACAGTCTTGATGAGGAACTAAAAAGACTGGAACAGAAAAGAATCCAACGTCGTCTTGGTGCTCAACTGTTTCCAGCACTCGCAGCTGATGAGCAACTCGGACATCCGTCGTTGCCTGCGAAATGCTCTGCATGCATGTCTTGCTCATTCCCTCGGCTGCTAAGCTCTGGGCTGCCGCTGCTTGAGTTCCGTTTTCCACCGCGGCAGGCGCCGGTTGCGCCTTGCTACAAACTGTGGCTTTGTTCCGTCCATGACAAATGTTTTTTTTACTTCGATTAGAACTTTGCCATGCAAATCCCTCGGCCTTTTTCTTGGTGACAACCTTCTTCGACATCTGGGTGGACCTCTCATGGGTCACAGGTCACACTTTGGAAAGCTGCCCTGGCCATGGGATTTGTCGCACTATGCATGCATGGCTGTATCGTGCCAGCTAGTGCAAAAATGGTTTGCTATGCGTTTCTCGTTGCCGACTGTAGCCTTCGCAGAAAAACAAGCCTGAGAAGGGAAGGGACGAAAGCCAGCCGTCGTAAAAAAATATCAATATGATTATGGGGGGTGACTGCGAGAACCCTGGTGAGCTCCCCACCTCTTTTCCTATCACCTGCTCCCCCGCTATGCCCATTTTGTACATGAACTCCCACTCCATATGGGGTGCCCTTTTGCGTCTGGTCAACAAGCCTCTTCACCATAAAAAATTGCACCCCCACGCACCTCAAAGCTTGCCCGCTGCATTCTGTTCCCTCCCTGTTC